AGAAAAGCTGTTGTTAATTGCTATATTGAAGTTGTGAATGGCATTACAAAAGTTGTTAACGGTTATATTAGAGTTGTAAAAATTTTCAAAATAATTGTTTCTGGTCGCCGGAGTTTGTTGAATTTTCCAGAAAAGCTGTTGTTAATTGCTATATTGAAGTTGTGAATAGCATTACAAAAGTTGTTAACCGTTATATTGAAGTTGTAAAAATTTTCAAAAAAAAAAATTCCGACCGCCGGAGCTCCGGTGACCAATTGTCGGCTGGTCGCTGGAGCTCCGGTGACCGCCGCTGCCGGAGGTCCGGTGACCGGCCGGCAGTAGGGGCCTGTGATATTTTAAAAATAATATTTAAAATGAAGGGCAATGTGGTCTTTTCCTTTCACATAATAATCCCAATTTGGTCTCATGGTACCAAAATGGGATTTGTGAAATTGGGCGGACGTTTCTGGGCGTTTGGAGTTGGAGGTACATTTTTCTGTCTTTTTTCCTTTAGAATATTCTCTTTTCTCTCTCTTCCTTATCTCTTGTTCGTCTCTCCTTTTTCTCCTTCGGCTTTCTTCTTCTGGTTGGAGATGATATGATATTTATTGCTTCCTATTTCTCCAACCTTTTATCAGCACTTTGTTTTTCAAACTCGTTCTTCTACTGCTTCCCTCTAATTTCAGAAGAAATCATTCAAAACCAAACATTCATTTCCTAAAAAGTCCTGACTTCTAGTTCTTGTGTTGGTGTCCTCCATATATCTGGTATTCACTCCATCTTCTTCCCAGCTTTCAGATCAAACTTGTTTTGCTGTTTTCTACATACTAGCTACTTTTTAAAAACCCAAAACGAAAATTTTTTTTTTTCTTTTTGACGTTTTCCTTTGTTAGATTTGTTGTTTTCTTGTCAATCATATGCCCATAAAAATCTGAAAAAAAAAATTGTGCAAGTGTCTGGTTGAACAAATCTGTTGTTTTTCGTTGTGGTCAATCTTGTATAAAAGTCTCCCAAAAAAAAAAAAAAAATCTTTGCCTTAAAGATTATGGTAGTGTCTGCTTCATCTATAGAGTTCACGAGAGACAAGAAGTTGTGCTGATCAGTAGTGTTGTTGGTAAATTCTGACTCTTATGGTTTTTTAAGTTTCCAGATAAAATAATTAATCGTGAGTGCCATGATTGGAATACCTAATCTGTTTCTTGTCAATCACAGAACTTTCTCAAAGCTGAAGCGAAGACCACAGGCACAGCCACAGCATATCCTCATCTAGTTCAGGTGGCTTTCCTTCCTTATTGTTGTTTCTATCAGTGTTGTTCTTATTGATGATATTCATATAGATGCCGCTTCTTGTTACCTCAATTTCTGTTTTTTTCTTTCTTTTTTACTTTTCCCGGAAATAACTTAATTCCGAAAGCATACAGTATGTGGAAAGAGTTTTAGCAATCCCAGACCAATTTAATATCCGATCAATTTTATGCAAAAATGAACCACCCTCTAGCTATCCCATCCCGCCTATGTGAAGAAGAGAGATCAAGTGAGTTGAATGATACCGCTATATTTAATTCTTCATGTAACCTAATTATAAAGTTAGTTTTAATTCTAAATGTAAAATATTATAAAGTTAGTTTGGATTTTAAATATAAAATTTATTTTTTATATTTATTAATTTTTTAAAATTATTTTTTCAATCATAATTAAAGATGAGAACGGAATAGGATAGAAGAAAGATGACCAAGATGTTTTGAAAAAAAAAATATGACGTATTTATTATAATTAAACCTATTTAATTTTTTAATTTAATTTAATTAATTAAATAAACTTTATTTTTTCGGTTTTTAATATAAAACCAATTTAATTAATGTTATTATATTAAAAAAATTAGATAAGTTAGTTAATTATAAAAGAAATGACACACTTCTCTTAAAACACCATAATTATTTTTTTTGATATTTTATCTCTCTCTTTTATTTGATTATAGTTGAAAAAATATATATAAAAATAATTTTAAAAAAATTAAATTTTATATTAAGAATAAGAAGAATATATTGTATTGTCAGCATCTTGGACATTTGTACGGGTGGGTGTCACGTCGAAATTAGTTACAAAATTACAGCTAAGCATGAGCTGGATGCATTTACTCTTGACAACCTACTCCTTTGGCATCGAACTTGAATAGCCACGCAAGGCCATAAACTTGGGGTTTCGAACTTCATCCGCACCTCTTTAAAATAAAACATAAATTTTATTTATTCATGCCTATTAAAAATTAGTTAAAAACAATAAAAATGTAAAACCTGTATTTTTTCTCTCCCTCAAATACTGTTATTAATAAAGAGAATAAATAAAAAATATAATAAATAAATTAAAAAGAATATATAAAGAGTAAAATTTAAAAAAAAAATTTACAAAAAGGGAATATTATCTTATAAAAAATTAAAATTAAGTTCTTCCCATAAAATTTATCTTATAGTTTAAATAGGAGGGAGTAATACTTGGTGACACAATCTTATCCATACTGGAATAAAAATGATGCAATCTCACTTAAATCAACTTTTCTTTTAACTCTGCAATTAGCACCTGGACCTTTTTTTATTTTTTTTGTTTGAATGAAACTTCTTTTGTTGAATAATGACACCGCGGTCATTTCCATATGCCCCTTGCTCTCCGTCCTCCTTGCAGGCTTGTATCCAATTTTAAATGACTGATGGGAAGGATAAGGAAAACAGGAAAAGTAAGAAACTCAGGGCATTTATTATTAATAAATTATGAAAAAAAAACTTTAAGGATGTATTTAGATTGACAAGAGTAAAACTGATTTTTATTTTAACTTGTTTTTGTAAATCTAAATTAGATTAGAGTTAGATTGACATTTGTAAAAAGTCAGTTGAAAAAACTAAAACTTGTATGGATAATTAATAGAAGAACAAGTTTAGATATAAAATGACTGAAAAGTATATAAACTTTATTAAATAGTAATATTTTATATTACATGATATTGATATGATAATTGTAAAAAAGAATCATTAAAATTATAATTATAAAATAAAAATAGTGGTTAGTAAGAAAATTTTAAAAATACATTGTAGATAATTAAATATATATAATTAATTTGGGAAGACTAACGAAGTTAAATAAATTACTTTAAAATATTTATATTTATTTTTTAAAAAATTAATTTGCATGACTTATAAATTACTATGTAATCTTATGATACACATAAATATTTTAGAGAGATTATATAATATATGATATAATTAAGTAATTTATTTATTTATTTTAATATCTTCACATTAGCGTATTAATATTCTATATTAAAAGGCTAGAAAGCACTCTCTCTTGCAACAAAGTAAAAGTACCCATGTGGACCATATTGACTTGCGGTGTAGAAGGTAGAAGCTACTCTATGGAGCTTTGGGAAAAAAAGTCAGTTTAGAGGATAAGCTCATTTACCCCATCCAAAGTTCCGAACATCTCTGATCTTTAATGTACGTTCACCTTCCAAACGCATACCAAACACGTTCTAGATAGTTCCTCACATCCTAAAATGCTTCAACCTGCCAAAGACGCTAAATAGTTCCTTGCATCCTGAAATGCCTCTGCCTATCACCTCAACCTTCATTTGGGGATGCTCATCAAGTGAAGTATTTCCATTTTATAATGCAAAAAACAATTGCATTTGTGTATTCGGGTTTAGTTTGAATCCGACGAATTTCTTGAAGCTAGCTTAGAAGAACCAATTTTAAGAAAAACACAAGTTTTTAAGGCTTATTTAGGTTGGCTAGCTCGGCCTAAACTACCAACTTTATTTTAACATTGACATCTTGATATAGAACTTATACTTGGCTCTTGGTCTTTTTTTGCTTTATTTCTACCCCCTTTTCTTCTATCTTTGATGAATTTTCTCTTTTTTCTTTTAAATCGTGGGCTTTTTTTTTTTTCTCTAAAAGCACAGATGTCTAATCTTTGTACTTCTAATTATTTGTTACATTTTTTTTTGCAAACTTTATCTTTTTAAAAGTGCCTAATGAGTTGTGATATACACACACGCACACGTATATATATATGAATGTGTGCTCTTGAATCTTAAAAAGGCTTAGAATGATTTTGAAAACCTATGATTAATATCTTCATATAAATTTAATATTGTGAAGTAACATTATACCAAATGTCACCTATAGTGATATAAAATTAAGATACAGTAAATTGATCATAACCAGTCCAACAGTGATACGCTTGCGGTTGCGTCATTGATGTTTGAGCGAGTGTATTGATTGTTGGTTCTACGGCCCGTTTAAAATGTAAAACCTCGTTTAGGCCCAACATTATTTTGGGTCAATTATTTAGGCCTATGTGCTGGGGAGTCTAAGCCCTTTTCAAACTTTTCACTAATTCAGTGTGGGTTAATGCGTAGGTCCAAAACGACTGTTGTCTAATCGTATAATTATGGTTCCATCAGACGAAAACCAATGGAGAAATTGGGGCTAATCATTTATAAAATTCATAATCAATTGGAAAAAAAATTAACCAACAAAATTGAATTTAATAGAAATGGCTAGTTTCCAATAACGTGGTTTCCTAATATTTAAATTCCTATTATGAAAGGCAGTATCTCACATGAGATTGTCTCTAGTAAGAAAATATATGCTTAGTGAAAAAAAGAAGAACAAGAACAAGGAAGGCTTTCATTAAACTGAGCAAAGGAAAGCCACGTATTCCTGGGGAAGACAAGACGAAAGCAGAGACAAATACTCACATGAATAATACGCAGATTCGTTGTTTGGGGGGAAAAAAAAAAAGAAGAAGAATAATAATACCCAGATTCATTGAACCCTTCGAGAGCTATTTCGAATTTACTACTGATCATACTGCCTTTTATTAGTTAAAGCCAAGAAATTGCATGCGTGGGCGTGGTTTATGTATGCTTCCCTTTTTCGTCATTTTCTTTGGGGAGTCGTTATTATAACTGTGACCCCTGTTTAGCGAAGCTTTAAATTTCTTATCGTTTTATCCAGGAAGTAAGAATGGAGGTTCTCGCTGCTATTGTTGGAAAAATAGCAGAGTTAACTGTTATGCCCATTGGAAGGCAAGTGGAATATTTATTATTTCACAAAAGGAACGTTAAGGAGCTAGAGAAGGAAATTGAGGAGTTGAAAGAACGAAAAGTTCGCGTCGTGCATGATGTTGAAGCAGAAAGAAGGAAAGGAGGAGAGATTGAAGATGAAGTACTAAGTTGGCAAAACAGAGTTGACGATACCTTGGAAGAAGTAGAGAAACTTCGTGAAGATCAACTTCGTGCTAGTGTACGGTGTTGGAAATGGTCTTTTCCTAATTTGATATCACTACATCAACTTGGTAGAAAAGCAAAGAAAATGACATTCACCATTTCTGAACTGAAGGACAAGGGGAAGTTTGATGGTGGAGTTGGGTATGTTCTTGCTTCTAGCATGGGTAACTTAATTTTTGCAACTCGAGGTAGTGAAAAGCTTGACTCAAGAAACTCAGTGAAGGAGGAGGTTATGTTGTCTCTAGCTGACCCCAAAATAAGCAAAGTTGGAATTTATGGGTGGGGTGGAGTGGGGAAGACCACTCTAGCCAAAGAAGTTGCCAACCATGTTAAGGATAGAAAGCTGTTTGATATGGTTGCTATGGCAACTATATCCCAAACTTTAGATGTTGAAAGAGTTCAAGATGAGATTGCATATCAATTAGGCTTCCACTTGGATGAGAAGATTTCAATTGGAAGAGCTGATCGCCTTTTTGCAAGGATAAAAATGGAGAAAAATATCCTTATCATACTAGATGACATATGGGAGAAAATAGATTTGGACAAGTTGGGAATTCCATCTGAGCAAGATCTTGAAGATGGAAAATTATCATTCACTTCTAAACATTTAGGTACTTCACAGAAGAATGAAACTTATCAGGGTTGCAAATTATTGTTGACTTCTAGACGGTTAGATATTTTACAAAAGAATGAGACTCAAAGTAACTTTCTTATAAAAGCATTAGATAATGCAGAGTCATGGAGTTTGTTTAAAGATATGGTTGGTGATGCTATTGAAGATGCTGATTTGCAAAACATAGCAACCCAAGTGGTTGAAAGATGTGCAGGTTTGCCTGTTATGATAGTCTCAACTGCAAAGTCACTAAAGTGTAATAAGACTATTCATTATTGGACAGATGCCTTGAACAACTTAAAGAGAGTTGATAATGGGGACATGTATGGGACTGTTTTTTCAGGTTTTGAATTTACTTACAACCGCCTGGGAGATGATGAAATGAAGAAAGTATTCTTGCTATGTGGTGCATATGGACCGTTCATGTGGTTTAGTGACTTGTTAAAATATGTATTTGGTTTGGGTGTTCTGAAACACATAGATACTATTAAAGATGCAAGAAATCGACTGTATAGAATAATTGATGACTTGAAGGCATCTTGTTTGTTACTTGAGAATGATGCGGACAAGGCCGATGGGATTAAAATGCATGACATTGTTGGTGAAATCGCTGTTTCAATTGCTCATAAGAGTGAACATGTTTTTGCATTGAGAAATGATAGTATGCAAGATTGGCCAAGCAAGAGATTTCTTGAAAGGTGTACTCAAATAATCTTAAGAAATTGTTTTATCCAAGAGCTTCCTCAAAAGTTAGATTGTCCTAATTTAAAATTTTTCCTCTTAAGTTTCAGAACGGGTTGCACTTTGAAAATTCCAGACTCTTTTTTCGAGGGAATGGGAAGCCTTGAAGCATTAGATTTGACAGGTTTAATAATACCTACATTGCCTATATCTCTTCTTTCCTTGACCAAACTTAAAACATTGTGTTTGGATCAATGCACTTTGAAAAATATGGACGGAATAGGTGCTTTGACAAATTTAGAAATTCTTAGTTGCTTGAATTCATATATGGTGGAGTTCCCGAGTGAAACAGGAAAACTGACTCACTTAAAAATGTTGGATTTGACGAATTCTAGAATTAAGATCATTCCACCCAACATTTTGTCCAAGTTGACTAAAATAGAGGAACTTTATATGGGCAATGCCTTAGTTAAGTGGGAGGAGGAAAGTTCAACTGAGCAAAACAAAAGTGCTAGTCTTGCTGAGCTTGGGTGCTTGACAAACCTGACTACTTTAGACATTCAAATTCGTGAGGCTTGGATGCTGTCAGGGGACATGATGCTTGACAAGTTAGAGAGATACAAGATTGTCATCGGAGATAAATGGGAACGGTCAAGGAACAAAAGAACCTCAAGGTTGCTAAAGCTAAAGCTTGATACTAGCATTCATTCGGAACATGGGATTAAAGCATTGATTAAACAAGTGGAAGATTTGTACTTAGATGAAGTCAATGGAATTTCGGATGTGCTTTTTGATTTGAATGGAGAAGGATTTCCTCTACTAAAGTATCTCCATATCCAAAATAATGGCCAGGTTCGGCATATCATCAACACAACAGAGTGGAATGAAACTCATGTTTTGTTTCCAAAATTGGAGACACTAATACTTCACAATCTCAATAACTTAGTGAAGATATGTGATGGCCCACTTCCTATTAATTCCTTTGGAAAACTCACAGTCATCAAAGTCAAAAGTTGTGATCAATTGATATATCTCTTTTCTGTTTTAATGGAAAAAGCTCTTTCTCAACTTGTTGAGCTCCAAGTTTTGGAATGCAATTCAATGAAGAGGATTGTGTTAATTGAAAATGAAAAGTGGAATAAGTAGTGATGAGAAGATTGAGTTTCATTCACTACATTCGTTGAGTCTTTGTCATTTGCCAGTCATCCATGATTTTTGCTCAAATGAATTGACATCTTTTATGACAGCCACATCATTATTCAATGGCACTAAGGTATGTTTCTTTTTCATTCGTTTTATAATTTTGTTATTTACAATTTAGATCAAATGACTGAATCATAAGTAACTATCACAATGATCATGTATGGTATTTTTTAATATATATGTATATATATATAGAAGTAGAATGTCAAATTATTAATTTAATGAGGTACTCCCTCCGGATAAATTATGTTTTTAGAGAAAATCTTAATTTTGTCCTAACAAATTTGTTTGATAAATTATAGACAAGTCCTAAGAATCTCTAATATCAATTTTTAACACATGCGAAATTTCTACAATGCTATTCTAAACCTTCGACCTTTGACCACCATTGATGCGTGATGAGCTGGTAAGTACTAGAACCAGCAGGGCATTAAAAAATTATCATTAATATTTTATTAATAATTAATTTAAATATAATTGTCTTTTTTATGAAGTAAATATGATTATTTTAATAATATTTTCTTGTAACAATTTACAAGCCCATCTGCACTATTTACAAGTCGTACATTATTTACAACTTATGTCCTTTCTCACACGTTCTTCAAATTTTATAAATCCATTTATAATTCTTCGGCTGTTATTTTTAACTCATAAATTGCTTCCTAATTCTTTTCATATTACAATTGATCAGTTCTTTCAACTGCAGTTGAAATTTTTGTATTTACAAAACTGAACAACGAACTTTTCTCCGACGTCATCCAAACCTGTACATTTTTTATATATAGAAATACAGTTTTTATTTTTATTTTTAAAGAAAACTTCTTATTATGCTGGGTTATTTAATTTAGGTTTATCATACTATAATTAGTGTCATAGTACTCCTCCGGTCCTTAATATAAGACCCAATTGTTGAGTTAGTTTTAGTCCTAAATATAAGACCCATTTCTCATATTTATCAATTTTTTCTAAATTACCCCTATGGATACTTCTTCAACCATAATCAGATAGAAGAGGGAGATGAGGTATTAAGAAAGACGATTATGGTGTTTTAGGAAAAAAAACGCGTTGCATTTCTTATAATTAACTAACTTACTTAACTTCCTTAATCTAATCAAATTAGTTAAATGGGTCTTATATTAAGGGTCGGAGGAGTACTATATTAATACTCAAGCGTTGTCTTGGCCGATATGATCTTCAAGCTTGTTTAACAAATCCATTTTCCTACTTGTTTAAATGATAGTTTTGTACAAACGCATTTACCTTTTAGAAGATACTTGCATAATAAATTTTTATAAATCCATTGTAATACACCACTTGTTAAAATTGTCATCTTTCCTTTTTTTTTCTTTTTTGGCATTTACCAAGTTGAAGGTAACAAATTTTTTTAATCACAGGTTAGTTTTTCTAGTTTGGAGACCCTGAAGTTGAGTTCAATCAATCTGGAAAAAATTTGGGATGATCATCAACTTTCTGCGGCGAATTGTATTCACAATTTGGCTAACTTGGTAGTTGAGGATTGTAGAGGCCTCAAGCATTTATTCTCATCATCTGTGATTGGAAGTCTTTTAAATCTTAGACACGTTGAAATAAGCAAATGTGAGATGATGGAGGAGATCATTGCTCCAAACAGCATTGCGTCACAAGAGGTATTACGACTAGACTTGAAATAAATGTTGAGTCGATAACATCAAACATTTCCTCGTGTAGTTTTCTTCAATATCATTCATATATGTTGCTTATTATGGATTTGTAAATTGTGCTTTGCATCACAGGTCCGATTCTCAAAATTGGAGACCATGGTAGTTAAAGACATGGAAAGCTTGAAGAAAGTATGGCACTTTCAATTTGGTATGTTAAAGAGTTTGGAGGTGAGCAATTGTGGGAAACTTGCGAATATTTTCCAATCTGATATGCAGGGAACGTTTGGAAGCCTTGAGACATTGAAGGTCAGCCATTGTAGTTCAGTGGAAGAGATATTCGAACTAACTGTCAAAGAAATCCGCAATGAAGAGGAAACAACGACACAACAAGTCTCACAATTGAAGAAACTCCATCTGTTTCACTTGCCAAAGCTGAAACAGATTTGGAGTAAAGATGCTCAAGAAAGCCTTCGTTTCCATAACCTGCAACTTGTGTGGGTTGAAGACTGTGAGAACTTGGAATACCTTTTTCCATTCTCCATTGCAATGCATGCTACTCAACTGGAAAGTATTTCCATAAAGTATGCATGGAATTTGAAATATATTGTTTCAGGCGAAGGACCCATGGATAGTCCAGTCAAATTTGCGCTTAATCAATTGACCTCAGTGGTGTTTTGGAGTTTATTTCAACTGGAGGGATTTTTTGCTGGAAATCATAGTTTACTACATCCATTATTGAGGGAAATAGATATTCGTCAATGTTGGAAACTGAAGCTCTTCAAGACAGAAAGTTCAAGTGGCAAAGAAGAAGTTTTTCATAGTAAACACCAAATCTCATTGCAGCAGCCTCTTTTTGCACTTGAAGAGGTATAAGAATTATTGTATAAAAAACCTTAGTTTATTTAGGCACCATAAATATCTCAATGCATGCATCATAATTTTATATATTCAAAAAAATTAATCAGGTTTGATTATGGGTGCATTCGTTACTCGCTTCTTGCCTCTGTTGTATCTCTTTAGTTATATTGCTTTGATCCAATGCTTTTTGGTTTATGCCATATGCAGGTACTTTGCAACTTGGAGATGTTGGCGCTAAATAATGAGGATGCAAGCATGATATTACAAGGGCAATTTTCACGAAAACACTTCAACAAACTCAAATCTCTTCGTTTGGCAAATTTTGAAGATGATCATGCCAATTTTCCCTATTGGTTTCTCCAAAACATAACCACTGTCGATGATCTACTTGTTGAATTGAGTTCTTTCAGGGAGATATTCAAAGAAGAAATATCTACAGATGACAAAGGAAAATCTAAAAGTGGAGCACGACTCAAAACATTGAGCCTCTGTCACTTGGATGATCTCCAGCATATATGTACAGAAGGATTTCGAATAGATCCTGTCCTAGAGGTTCTTGAATACTTACAAGTCTTTGATTGTTCCAGTTTGAAACACTTAGCGCCTTCATCTGCAACATTTCATCACCTGACATATTTGGAGGTGGAAAATTGCAATGGATTGCTTCACTTAATTACCTCATCAACTGCAAGAAGCCTGGTCAAATTAACAACAATGAAAATAACGAAGTGCAATTCACTTGAGCAAGTTGTGGCAGAAGAGAGGGAGGGGCCTGACGATGAAATTGCATTCAGTAGCTTAGAGTTTTTGGAGCTAGAGAGCTTGCCAATGATTAAGAGGTTTTGCTCCTCCGATTGCTACTTAAACTTTCCGTTGTTAAAAGAAGTTGTCATTAAGCAATGCCCAAGAATGGACACCTTCTCAGCTGGGAGAGACACAAGCACACCGAATCTTCGAAAGATATCATCAAAAGAAGAAGATGGAAACGTGTATTGGGAAAGTGATCTGAATAAGACAATAAACAATATGTTTGCGGACAAGGTGTGCTTTGATTTCACTAGAAAATCATTCTTTATTCCTCTACGATGACAAAATGGTATAAACAAACTGTCAGAAATTGTTTATGTAAAAAAGAAAAATGATTGTGAAAATATCTTTTTGTTGTAAATATTTATTTTCATGATTGTATAGCTTTTATTAGCCTTTATTATTCACTCGTCCTTTTTCTCGGCGTATCTGTTTGGATATATCTTAACTTTTAGATGAATTGAAAAATACAAATTTCTCATGAAGTCCAGAATCATATATTGGTGCCATCGCGGTGAAAGCATGAACGAAATAAAGATGAGGCTGTGTTTAGTTTTGAATTAGATATTTTTATAATTTTTGTTTCTGCCAACATAATTGTCAGTTAATACTTTGATTGAATAGTATTAATTGTATTAACTGAAAGTAACAAAATTTTATTGTTTAATTTGCTTCGGTGCCCTTATTGTGTTTCCCCTTCCCTGTGTTTTCCCTTGCCTTGATAATTATTTGCACAGGTGGCATTTAGGAGCTTCAATCTTTTGGAATTTTCTGTATATCCAGAACTGAAAGAACTATGGTATGGCCAAGACGGGCCAAATATATTCTGCAATTTGAAGCATCTAGTGGTGCGAAAATGTACATTCTTGTCCAACGTGATTTTTTCATCAAATTTACTGCGATTGTTATATGCATTAGAGGAACTGGAAGTATCAGAGTGTGATTCATTAGAAGTGGTATTTGATGTAAATGCATTGGATGAGAAGGCAAAAGAATCAAAGGAAGTTAGTCGGTTGAAGAAATTAACACTCTCGGGGCTTCCAAATTTGAAATGCATATGGAACGGGGAAGCAGGAGAAATAATCAGCTTTGAAAATTTACAGATGGTGAAAGTTGATAAATGCCAACACCTGAAATGTTTGTTTTCGGTCTCACTATGCCAAGATTTGAGGCGACTTGAAGAGCTTCACATTGAGTCTTGTGGTGCTGAGGAAATTGTTTCAATTGCAGAAGGATTAGAGGAACTCAAGTTTGATTTTCCTCAGTTAACAACCTTGAACCTATTGAATCTGACACAGCTCACTAATTTCTATCCAAAAAGATGTATTCTAGAGTGTCCTTTGTTGAAGTGGTTAAATGTTCGTGGATGTGAAGAATTGCAAATATTTGCATTTGACCATTTGAATTCCCAACCGCTTATGGAGGGTGACAATGAGTCGCAAATTGAACAAGCTTTGTTTCATATTGAAAAGGTATGCATCCTTTTTTTTTTTTTTTAAATTTCTTCTATCTGTCTTTAATTACATTTTTTTCTCCAGACAAAAAGATGCATGGTTGAGAAAACTATAATTATGTATGTGGTTTGTAAAAGTATAAAAAAATGTTTTATGTTAACTTATTAGTAGATTATATGATGAAAGAAACAAATTATATTTTCTCTTTTTCAGGTGTCTCAAAATTTGAAGGAGTTGCCATTAAATGAAAAGGACACTATGAGGATATTGAATGGCAACTATGAGAAAAATCTCTTTCAGAGCATCAAAAGGCTTCGTTTGCAATATTTTCAGGGAACTCCAATAAAGTTTCTGAATGATTTAATCCAAATATTTCCAGCTATAACACGCTACAAGTGCGTTGCAGTTCTTTTGAAACACTTTTTCATTCAGAAGAAATTAATCATTGTTGTATTGAAAGCCCCACCCAAATTAAAACGTTGTGGCTATTTCAATTGGAGAAGCTTGAGCATATATGGAATGATGACGACTCAGCATCACATCCCTAGTTCAAAACCTTGAAGACCTCCGTATTGGGAATGTTCTAAGTTAAGAAGACTAGCACCACCTTCGACATCTTTCGCAAGTTTAACCACCTTGAAAGTAGAGGATTGCAATGGCTTGATGTACTTCATGACACCTTTCACGGCTAAAAGTCTTGTCCCTCACAAGCTTAACAGTTAATAATTGTGGAATGCTAGAGGAGGTTGTATGACTAGTGAAGGAGGATCAGAAGAAGAAATCATATTTGAAAGCTTGCAGTATTTGGAACTAACTTGTCTATCACGTTTCAAAAGCTTTTGCTCTGGGAAACACACCTTCATATTCCCCTCTTTGGTGACATTGGAAGTGACAGGATGCCCCAAAATGCAAAATTTCTCGTCTGGAATCATTATTGCCCCATTTCTAAAATCAGTGACAGTGGAAAATGGGAAAAGACGCTGGAAAGAAGACCTTAACACCACTATCCACCATTTGTTCACAGAGGTATGTATGCTACAAAATAAATTCTGAGATGATTGACACTCCTGTAATATCATGTATGTGTCTCAAGCTCCATTTGTAAAATCTAAAGAACTAAATTTAGACAATATTTTGCTGCAGCAACATATGATTGACTGAAAAAATATGTAAAACTTAAACACAGTCAAATGAAAACTTAAATATGGGTAAAAATATCGAATGTAAATGTGCGTTGCCGTCAAGATATAATATCTTGTGTGCCTACCTTAATCAGGCAACTCGAGAAGGAGACGAAGGGAACTATAAGGAATCTTCAAGTGATATTACCAAAAGCAGTCAAACTCATCAAATGAGTGCCAGTACTACCACAGCATCAAGCTCTGGGGAGCAAGTAGGACAATGGAAGCCTAATCAAATTGCAGACATTGGGAAGCAAGAAACACACAAACTTCCAAGTCAATCTTATGACAAAGAGCTGAATGAGCAAGCCTCGTCAGGTACTGAGAGGCCTTTGGCTCCGGTTACTCAAATTGCCTCCAGCCCTTCTACAAATCAAGAAAAAGGTATTGAGATTGCCTTGCATTCTGCTATTTGCCATAAATAATCACATGTTTCTTTGACTTTGGCCTTAATTTCTTTTACAGGTTTGAGTGTCTTAGGTATTTATCACTATCACTATCCTTTGGTATATTTAATGACTGATTCCTTTTGTTCAATAGAGTGCTTAGTGACACTTTGTTATCATATTCATTGGCTTGATTAATGTTTTTTTTTTTTTTGTGAGATACTTCGCATTCTGATTTTTATAATCCGAAATCATCTAAAAATAATTGACACTACTAGAAAACTTCTGAAGATGCCAAATCGTTTAATTAAATGACCACCTTTAGTATTAGCCACAGAGAACATACATAAATAATTTCTTTCACGTGTAAGAAAGAAGGAATTTATTAATTATTTTATCTACAACCTCATGCCATTCTACATTAAATTTCTCCCTAATCTGAGAGGAGCTTTGTTTAGGTTCCTTGAAACAAAGCTCTACGTTTTTTTAATTAATTATTGATTCTAATATGCTATGAGGGAATTGAAAACTAATAGAAGAATCACAAGACTCAAAGACTCAATCTAGCAAGAATCTATTCGAGCAAGCCACAACTGTCAACGATAAAGAAAGTAATGTTTTTCTTTCTTCCTCTTCTTTTGGTTTTATTTTTCTTCAGAGTGTTTAGATGTAAGATATTTTTTATTTTGTTAAAACGTTATATCATTCTATTTACTCTCAGTTTTTTCAAAACTAACAGGTTTAACTAAGGGGACTGAAGAGATGGGTGAGAACATTGAAAGGCCATTGGTTGAAGCTGCTAAAAGTGCTCTTAGCCCCACAGGAGCTTGTGATGCAGGTACTGATATTATTTTAACATGTGACAGATTACCTAAATTGCTTCTTATAGGGTAATGCATGTCCATTATAGTACTTGGCTTGTTAATTTTTTCTGACTTTCTTTTATGCGAATTGAAATATATTAGAGGAATTACAAGACTTAAAAATTCGTCCACGTTAAAATTTGATCATCCGGACCACAATACCTATACTGTAATTGAAATATCATCACTCTGCTTTGGTACATTCCATGACCTTCTTTCTTCTGCAGAAAGTTCAACCACACATTTTTATTGCACTGATCATATAGGCATAGTTCATTTGGAGAAATTATCCTTACTTGCTATCATGGGAAATAAAATCAACTACAGAAGAATCACTAACTTAAAATTTCCCATTTCTGAGAATTTTCTTAATCAGATCTTCACCACCATTGTTATCGCTCTTGTTAGAGGGAAGGAAATTATTTTTATTTTGTTAAAACCCTCATGTCAAATAATTTGTATTATAGTATTAGTATTTTTTATTTATTCACTTAGTATTAAGACTCAACAGATATATATGCAATGTCACCAAAAGACCATTGGTTATAACTATTAAAGGAACCAATTTCTACTGCATTTCAGGATCCATGGGTTGACCTTGTTGTAGTACTCATTTTCATAATTAATGTTTCTAACTTCTTATCATGTGAGAAATCGTTTGAAAATATCATGTGACTTGGAAATTTGGCATCCTATAAGTTCGTCCACCCAGGCCTCATGTATGTCCTTGCTTTTTTTTTTTTTAATTCTGTATTCTTTTGCCTAATTAACTACCATAACCTTATATCGTGCCAACTAAAATATACCAGAGAAAAAGCCTTCAAATGACTTCTCGTCTTTTAAATTTTAGAAGCTTTTTTTTTTCCTTTACAATACCTTGCGTTATTTTGTTTGCTAAGCTTATTTGTTTGGCTTTTTGACTCCAGAGGTGAATGAGACTACCGAGAAACCCTTAATTCAAGCTGCGCAGGAAGCACAGAGACCAGCTGTAGTACAGGACATAGGTCCTAATACTGTTTTGATGGATCTTGATCTAATACTCTTGCTTAATTAATTCTTTATTTTGAATTTCTGTCATGTTAACTGAAATTTGCTAGAAGAATCACAGAGTAAAAAACTAGTTCTAGAAAAAATTTGTTCAACCTACCCAAAACTTTTGTGACTAGTGACAAAAAAGAAAGTAACGGATTTATTTCTCTTCAGAAAGAAGTAATTTATTTTTATTTTGAAAAAAACTCTTTTCTCATAAATTTTTTTTTGTTTTTTAGCTGTTGGAACTCAAGAGATTGATGACACCATGGACAAATCCTTGATTCAAACTGACCAAGATGCAGAGAAACTTGCCACAACACAAAATACAGGTTCTTATCCTGTTTTGTATCTTTTTCTTTTTTGGGTATTATTCTTTGGATGAACTAACAAGTCTGTTATCATGTTAATAAAATGTACCAGAAGAATTACATGATTCATATATTGAGACTCAAAAGATATGCGATACTATTCAGAAGTCTTCAATTCCAGCTGCTCAAAATGTTCCAAGCTCAACCATGATTCATGAAGCAGGTATTGATTTGCAAGCTCCGATCAATTTGAAATGAATTGATGGGAAAGAACTGCAATTTTCGCAGGACTTTTTCATTTTCTCAAAACTTGCCTCAAACTTTTTTTTGCCCCCCTTGCTTGTTGATTCAGCTCTTGATCCATCACCTTCACAAGCTTCAGAACCTATGATTTCATCAATAGAGAAATCGAACATTTATAGAAGCTACAAGGGAATGATTGACATTCCTGAAAAAGCATGCCATATTTGGAGGCTGGGGTGAGGCGGCATCCTCAGGTGCTTGATTGGCTCAACACAAAGCGACGCAGAGTGTTTGCTTCCTCTTTCTTTTCCTTATTTGCCGAGGTGACTCATATCTTGAGGACCACTCGAAGAGTGGACTTGGCCGAAGATGATCGAAACTACATCAGAGAATGCTGCACAGCGTTGCAAGGGGTTGGCTTTGATGATTCCTGGATCAGTTACGTGCATGGCTGCATTGAGGAATGTGAAGATGGAGAAGACCTCAAGAGGAAGGTTAAGGAGGCTGAAGATCATGCTTCAAATTTGAAAGCTCAGCTTGAGTCCATCAACAAGGAGTTATCTTCGGTGGAGGAATCCTTAGTGTTGTTGCGTAACAGGTCCAGTAGGCTGCATGATCTCATTGAGTCCTGAAGTTTGTGGATTCTCTTGGACATTTACTTGCTTTGACTTTTTCAGTATATATTTACTTATGTATGTTCATTCATTTATAGTTTGTCTAATGTACATTATAAGTAATGCGTCATGTTGGATCCAATGAACTTGATCGTTCTGCATGTTACTTGCAATATTGAAGGAACGTGATCATAAAGACGTTGTTCATGGTAGCATCAGTGACGTTGTTCTCTCTTGTGTTTTTGTTTCTGAGTTCCCCTGTTCAATGTAAACAAAACAGGATTTGTTTGTCTTCTGCTAGCGTCTTTTGGAGCAGAATGGATTCGTGTTTCATCAATACATTGATAAATGTGTTATCTACCATCTTAATCTTCATCATATCATATGTTTATCAGAATAAAAACTGATATTTGGAGAAGGCATAGTGTTATCGAAAATTCGATGAAAAACAGAACAAAGCAGAGCAGTAGATAAGTTACAAGATATAAGCCGATCAAATTGTCAATGCCAGCTTTCAAGTCTATTTACCACGCCAACTCTCGTTTTGTGGCTTGCGTTGTAAATATAGACAGCTAATTGGTACAAACATTCAGGAGATTCATATTGAAAAGTTCCAACCTTTTTCTTTCTTCTTCGAAAAATTTAAGCCAAAGGAGATTTTTTAGTTGCATGTCAAACCTGCTCGCTATTTGTGAAAGAGAGTTTAAATTTAGTGCCTATTTAAATTCAGCTTCAAATAAATTATAAGAGTTAGAAGTCAATACTTAGCTCTTTAACCTTATAAAAGGTCTTAAATGGTTTTTTTTTAAAAAAATTAAACTTAATATATTAGTATTTTAGACTTTTTATTAAGATTCAATATCTCAATATCATCATTTTTTGTTAACAGTTTTTAGACTAAAAGATTAAAAATATACTTTTTTAAAGTCAAGGAACCAAATCAAAATTTTATGTAAATTAAAACTTAAAAGACTAAAAATATATTTTAACCTTTAAAAAAATCCAAATCCCTTCTACACACGTCAAAATAAATTAAAAATCCAAAAACATAATTATTTCATAAGCTATCAAACAGTCCCTATACATGCTAAAATTAATTTCAAACATGTATCTCGTAAACTACTATTGCTTTTCAATTATACTCAGAAATCAATCTTATAATCAATTTTATAAATTCATTGCAACCAAATTCTGTTTTTTCAACTCAAACCCAAACACACTCTTAAGTTTTCTCAATGACTAGTACATAATAAAGAACTGAATAAATCAGCATCTCTTAAAAAACAATTAAAATTTATTATCACTCCTGAATGGTGATAACTATTCAAAGAATGTTTCAATTTTTAAATCTTAATCTGATATAAACTATATTTCTTGTCGCCTTTCTAAATTTCTCTATAACATCTGTCATAGGTCATTCATTTCCCCCTTTGTTAACTCCACTGATCTGCACATACATTTATAATTACATCAAATGGAATAATTGCATGCGTTGAATTGTAAATTGAATTCTATGGATTGAAAGCAGAAGAATGCAAAAAGCACAAACTCAGAAACTATATACTGTAATTCAAATTATAGATGACGAGGTGGGAACTGCACAACTTGCTTGATCAAAACCAGGAACAACCAAAACATCTACGTATAGAGAACAAACTTGATGGCTTGGGTTCGGCATCAGACTCTGGTTTCTTCCGAGGAAGATGCTTAAAGAATGCTTTCACCGCTCCTTCCACGCCATCCTCGTTTTCTATGGCCTTTGCTAGTTCAAGTGCACGATCCTTTACCTGGAATCACATCATATTGCACATATAAACATGATGGTGATAGAATTTCTGCTACACTGCTAATCATAAACTTCCTTAGAGTTTCAAATAACTGAAATGCTCTGCACGACATCTCAACCATGGGCGATAGGCAAGTCCTATCATCGTAGCTGAAAACTAGTTCTTCTCAACTAGCAAGCAAAAGCAGAAACAAGTATATCTCTCATAAATTGCTTTTTTGCATCACAATCCACGTTTTAGTATCATGCATCAATAATTAGCAGACAATGCGTAGAGTGGTTAAGGTCCCTCTTCACTTCTGACATATATATATATGCTGGCTTTCATATTATCAAACTTAAAAGTGACAGAAGGTTATATTACCTTGGAATCTAGCATAAAATTTATTGCGTCAACCAACTTAGTCAGAGAAAACTCATCAACTGGGATGGGTTCTGGACCAACTCCTTTGGCATGAACTCGTTCTCCCCAAAATGGTTGATCACCAAAGAATGGAACTACGGTTGTCGGGCACTACAAGGAAACATTAAAAAATAATAATACTAATAATAATAATAAAAAATTCCTTTCAAAAAAAAAAAGACAGAATCAGAATATATGAAACTTGGTTATGTTGAAACGGATCGCAAATCTAAAATCGTCAAGTTGTTGGTAGAATAGAAGATCGTATTTTTATTGTGTTGGATTCGGATAAATTAGGCCATTGCTTTAAGTTAGGAATAGGCTTCATTTTAAGTTGCTCCTGGAAGATACGCATATGATGGGAGATTTTTAAGGAAAAATAGGTCGGGGTTTTTGCCCCAATTTCTTAAACGTTGGCTGTAACAACTCAACATAGGTAGTAGTATTATATTTCAATTATTTGTATTTGATCTATTATGCAGAGAGAGAGGGTCTATAAATTACTTACTGCAGCCTTTAGCCCAGCAGCCGTAGTTCCTGCACCTCCATGATGTACCTGGAAGAAACGGGGAAAAGAATAATAACTTGCAAATACAACCAAAAGTAAACAAAAAAAAGAGAGATTTTACCAAAAAAGAAACAGAGAGAGATTTGTGAGCACATCATTAAGAATGAAAAATCAAAATTTCCTACAGAAAATTTTTCGGAGAGGACTGTGACTTGTCATGAAACTAACAAAAACGCGATCTTATTCCACTCCACAATTTGCTAACTAAACCTGTGCCATAACCATTTTTATTTATTTATTATCTGAGTTCACTAGCCATTTCTTTTCATGCTAGGATGCAATACAGATGTAAAAAAAAAAAAAAAAATTACCAGCAGTAAAGTAATTGAAGTCAAATCTTTTCGAGCATCCTTAGGTCAGCATCAACACACACCAGGCAAAGTAAACTTAGATGCACTTATTATTATTAGGCCTATGTCATGACCATATGAAGTGAATTTTTATTACAGCCAGATAGATTTAGCAGGGCTGTTGTGTCCCACATTCATGAGATGAACTACAGTTCTGCCCAAAATTTGGAATCATGCTCAGCTTAGTTTATGGTTGGGCTTTGGTCCAGGATCCAATCATAGTTTAGAGTCTCCGTTCACTTCATTGACCATGGCTTGAAATCTTGGGCAATTCAGGGTATGAACACACACCAGGCAACGTATTTAAATCAAATGCGAAGTAGACAAAGCAAGATCATGGCTGATTTGGTTCAAACATGGGTTTAGGATTTGCTCTGCCTCAAACATGAGTCTAAGAAAATAAATGAGAGCTTACGGGTGCTTTTTTTTCTAACTGGGTTTGGGTCTTGCAAACAGAATACCAAATATAGTCTAAACCACCTAAGATAACTACCATCATGCAATAACTACCTATGATGGAGATTATTAGCATGTCAAGCATTAAGATGGAGGTTCCCAAGAATATTGAAGCCCTTGACTGGCCAAAAAAATTATAGTAAACTGCTAAGTTAGAGCAGAAAGCCCAACACACTTAGACAAGTTTGAACCAGCAATTTAGCTGGCTGACACTAAAACTCCTCTACATCTACCATGGCACAAATTTCTGAGAATTACAAGATTTATGTTAGTGATTTCCTGATGTCAAAGTATCTTTGAAATTGTGGCGAACCAAGATTGATAGAAACAGAGGATCTCACCACAGCCTTGCAGCGTAAGAATAGCCAGTCATGAGGGCAATTATCCAATAAGTATATAGAGTCTTTTGGTTCTGCCACTGAGAAGAAGCATAAATAGTTTAAAACCAAAGACGATTACTACAGAAAAAGAAAGTAAGATTTTATCTTACAATTTCCAAGACCTCCCCATCCTTTATTGATGATGCCCCTCTGTCCAGTTTTTTCTAATGCTTCTACAATGATTTGAGTCATTTTTTCTGGTTTTTGAACAGGCTGTAATAAGTGTACAAGAAAGAGATGAAGTAAATAAGATCAAAAGAGCAAGATAAAATAAAAATCAGTTCATGAAATCCAAATTCCCTTCTTTATTATTTAGCCGTATACGAAGCCTCAAGTATAGCAGACAGACAATCGTTAAAAAAGGACAAAACTTCAAACAGGGGAAGTACCAAATTGTACTAAGGATGCAATAATACTAACATCCTCATAATTCATATATTATCCTTTATATTACGTAAGTTCGTCATCAAGGAGCGAAAAGACCTAGTAACCAGAAGGCAGTTAATTAATAATGGCTCTTTTAAGCATATGGTAATTAAGTAATAATTCCTGAACCTTAGCTTTAAAATTTTAGGATGTTTTATCTCATTCAGCGTTGAAAAATAGATAAAACCAATTAATAGGACCATCTGATTCTCATTTGAAATGATATTTTCAATAGTCTTTTACGTGTTTGTAAAAAGTGAAAAAAAAAAAAATGAACACCTTGCAGAGTAGACCCTCTGTAAATTATGATACAGTCAAGTTATATAACGATTAACTGATGTTGCAGATTGGCATGTCTTGGAAACCATTTCCTGCCCATTGTATATCAGAACCAAATTGAAATGCCTGAATCTTTTTCGAAGAAGACAACATAAAGTTCAAATGTGCTTTAGCACACAGGAATGATATGGCCAAAATGCGTAATGGAAATAAGAAGACTTACCAGGCTACCAAATCCAATGTAAATAGGCTTGTTACCCTCTTCAAGCCACTTCACGAGTGACTCTGGGGGTTGATAGTTTGATGCAAGATCAAGGAAGCAAAACCCAACAACGTCAATTTTTGGACCCCAGTCTGCAAACCAAGAAATAACGGAGATTAGATGCTCCTGTCATGGGTCTGGCAGCAGAAGATAATACAGGTTATGTTTCAAGCACTTGACACACCTTTTACATTGGGTTAACGGTTCAAATAGGATGAGAAAAAGAAACAATATAACCATTGGAAGAAGTTCACTTACTTAAAGGGAGAAAAATAAAAACCAAAAAAAAGTTTTTTTTCCCCTTTTGTTTTGGGGGTTTTTTTTGGGGGGGGGGGTTGTTTTGTGAAGAATGAAAAAGGATAGAAGAGGAAGCGACATGCCCAAGATTAATTGACGAGGCTTTTCCCAACAGCAAAGCACACTGTCTTTGCCGAAACATTTTCCTTAATTGAAAGAAATAATTTCATCAAAAGTTCTTTTTATTTGGCCCCAAAGAACAACAGCATAAAATAAACATATATCAAAAACAGAATCAAGGGCAACGAACTGTTATGATATGAAATGCTATAATGTGCAGCACATAAATATGACTATAAATATTTGTCCAAGACAAATTTGACTATAAATATAAAATGTTATGATTGAGATCTAAAGCAAACCTTTTGGTTTAGGAACAAGGTGAGGGCTCCATATATATGCATGCGGCACATCATTATCAGAGCCCTGGGCATCACTTAAATATGTGACTGGCCGCAGCTTCAACTTTTTCTTCCTAAGATCATTGATCATGTCTCGTATTCCCAGCCAAATGAATGAGTCAACAATTTGATATGAAAGCTGAAATAGTGATACATGACTAATTTCCAGTTAAAATACGTGGACAAAGAAAGTGAAGGAATCATAAGAACTGATACAAATTTAAGAAACTCACCCTATATCCTGCTGGTTGCTTTACACGAGACAAAGGATGTGGAAATTCACTGGTAGGCCTGAAGGAAGAAGACAGTACACACAATGTAGATTTAAATTTACCGCAAAACAATACTAATAAACACTTTTCAAAAAGCATGAAATAAAATTTTGTACACTAGAAAATGCTAAAGTAAGATTACATCACCAAGATGAAACTTACGTCCATGGCATTGTAAAAAAAATATGTATTGGTATTTTCAGTGCCTCTGCCACATGGGTATGACCTAAAATTGAATGTTCCAATGTTCATCAGCAAAGTATGATAACCAGGTATGAGCGTGCCTGATTAAGAAAAAGATAAGATTTATTTCACATGATAAAATTGGCTGAAGTATAAGATATCGTATGATTACATTACAGAAAGACAAATTTTATTAGTGAAGTACTTTTCTCTAAAACATTTGAAAACAAGTAGAATTGCCTTCATACCATCCCAATATCAAAAGGGGAATAGTGTGTGAAAACTTCGATTGGTATTTGAAGATCATGATGACCATTGCTTTTTTGAAGAAGTCATTTCTAGATCTTTTTTCCAGTTCATAATTACATTCTTCTGTCAGCCATTCAGGATATTTGCACCATGTTTTTGTAATCTGGACGAGGGAGTTACACCAGCTAGTATCCACTTTCAAGTAGAATCACTAGTGTAACCTAGAACGAGCCAAAGCAGAAGCAAACTGGCCAGTTTAACCAGAAATCAGTCAACGAACACTGGTTTGTGGTTGCACAATTTCATCTTTGTATGAAATGGAGTCACCAAGTTTGGAGGTTATAAAAAACGTGAAAGAGTTACCAAATTAAGAGATATGAATGACATAGTAAAGTCTTGTGGATTAAGAGAGTAGCTAAAATAATGCACCCAAAAGGAAAGTGGCATAAGTGTCTTTCTGTGATTATAGTCGAAACAGAGGTTGAGGAGTCAGAGTTATGTCATCAGAGTCCTTCAATGATCTATTTGTTTGTTTCATTCCTTTTCCTCATTACTTTTGCATTCCCAAGGCATTTCCTAAACAAGATTTCATGCTTGAGCTATAATCCCATGTAATTATCATTTTGAAGTTATTTGATTTAATAATTAGAAAAAAAAATAATATTAATTTAGTGAACATTGCAAAAACTAAATTTCTCTAACGAGCAAATTAGAGGGACAACATGAAAGAAAATTAAAATCACAAATTTAACCAATCATATCAAAATGCTACTGACAAGAAAAACCATACCATATGCTGGGGGATTGGCGATAATTGCATCAGCTTTGAAAGGAATGCCAGAATCCATATCAGGTTCTTTACAAGCTGGAAGCAAAGAGTAGATTATATTTTTGATTTGCTTCCGTTGAATACGTATCTCGGAAGGTCCTGAAGGCAGGAAGCCCTTATTTTTTACCATATCTGCTCCAGAAACAATTTAAAAATTAACATGTAAAATTAAAATAGTAGAAATGCAACCATAAAGATAGTAGTTATTAAATTCAAAGATCCGATCTGAAAATCAATGTGTCACATGTATTTTAGGACCATTTCACTGGAACAAGCTCCTTTCAGATTGCAAATTTGAAAACAAAAATGAAAAAAGATATTTTTAAAGGGCTGCCCTGACAAAATAGAAAATGTTTAGGAGGATGACTATATGCTAGGAACATACATGAAGGCAAGCAATTGTATTCATTTAAGTTTTAACTATGCAAAATAAAATTCAAAGTTACAGATTTTTTTTGGGGGGGGGGGGGGGGACATGACAGCCAGATCAATGTATGATTCAGGATGCATACTCCCGAATTCAAACACCACAGACATTCTATTGGATAGGCAAGAGAAATGAATTTTACAATTCTGAATTTACAATAATACAAAATACAGATAGGCACAGTTGTACCAACTGGCCCACAAGCACAAACACTTGGGGGGGAGTTCCAGTAACATTGCGTTGATATCAAGATACACTCAAATCAACTTTACACATCACAAGATTTTCCAGCCCCACATGTACTATAGTAGCATCATTTCAAAGTAGTCTAAGAATAAAGTGTTTGGCAGTAAACATAATCCAACCACATAAAATAACACCCAAGAAGACGACAAAAAGTGTTGTGAGTGTAAGAACTATGAATGGAAGACTCTCGCATTTATAACCATTATTGTAATATGATGCATAAGAGTTGTATGAGTGTGCATGATACATACAGCCGGCAAGGATTTTCGGATCACCGCCTAAAGGATAAAATTCCAGCCCAGCTGTCAAGACAAATTCCTTAAAATTTGAATGAGTTGCTAATCTTACACGATGACCATAGTCCTGCAAGCAAATTCATGCAAAATCCTCAGTTTTGAACTCAATAAATTCTACAGAAAAATTCAATACAAAAGAAGGATATCTCAGTTTACCAATATTTTACCCCAGGATAACCAATTTGATTAATTTATAAATTACCTAATTTTCTAATAGCAATATCTGCAGCAGGCATTCCTAGCCCAATGGCAACGACAGAAAGTAAACTACCCAAAAAAATAAGGGCGACTTCTGACTGTAGAAAACTATAAATGCCATTAAATCATTAACCTCCATATCGAGTAAAAAACCTAGGTCTTGACTTACTATTACAGCCAATGATAAACAGCTAAAATGTGCCAGATTTGTCAGAGAAGAAACAAAAGACAAAAGCTTTAAATTCTGAATATTTGGAAAAGAGATAAAAGCATGCAGCATCAGAGATAGAAATAACAGCATGTACCTAAGCAGAGTACCTTTGGCAAAATAGTCACATATTTGATCTATTTTACAAAGGACACATTGCAAAGTTTATGATTTAATAATCCAGTTGCAGTCAAACCAGACACTTGTTGCCAAAGCCAAACCCTGTTGGATATGTATTTATCCAGAGGCTGTCCTTGACTGAATCAGAAAGAGATCAGAGAGTCTTGTTGCATTCATGCGTTCTATTTCTGTTCTTTTAAATAATATTTGTAATCTTGCTTCGCTTAAATGTTCGAACATATCATGTTTTTGTTTAGAATAAATTTCTTTTACGAAAAGAGATTCAACAAAGGATTACATGGATATGCAGACACATATGTATAGCATTCAAAACATGGCAGCCATAAAATGAGACATCTGTTGTCTCTCTATACCTGCAACCGCTTGCCTATTGCAACAAAAGGTTGTACATCTCCACGTGTCCCAACAATAAGCATTACTATCTGTAATGGGGGTATGTATTGAAGGTCTGATGCTTCAAGTTGATGATCATCAACAACATTATTTACACGTAATTGAGCGCCAAGAGCTTCAGGCTCTGCATCTCCTGGAATTTCAAATTCTACAGTTCCGTCATCTTTTACAGCTGCTATCCTGTTCAACAATTTAAGCTGCATAGTTGTAAAGTTCAGTGCTCGAGGTTTCAGGCTTATAGGTTTAAAAATTAAGATGATAATGATCAGAAGATAAATGAAAAGAAGAAAAATTAGGAGAAGGGGATAATAGAAAACGGTTGGATGAAACACAGTAACCATGATCGTAATCCTAGTTAGTTGAGCTATTGGCATTGCCTCCAGCTTTTACACGATGCACCTTTTTCCTCTTCTCCTAACATCTAAGGAAGAGAGAACTTGAGAGACACTCATCATATTATGACCCACTTGACATGTTTTTTGTGAGAATGTTATGCTTGCAGAATATTTTATATGTTCAATGAAGTCCACTACCATATCAAATGCTTCAAAGTGCTTTGAACGACATAGTAGAAACCACATCGCAAAGGAAAAAAATTTGTCAGAAAAATTGGACAAAAGTCTTGATTCAACAAGAATACAATCATATTATTCATCTTTCTACCCCAGAAGTGACAGTCTTAAAGTACAAGCGAGAGATATGATGAAAACTGCATAACAAATAAGCTCAATTATTCAAGCTTGTTTTAGCAAGTTTTTCTTCCAATTTCTTATTCCACCATATTTTCTTTCCCAATGGATAATTGAGATCATTTCAAATGCCTATGTGTGAAGACAAGCATCCCAGAGATCAAAGAAAACATTGAAAAGAAAGAACAAAGAAAAGCATCTACATTCTTCCAGTCAGAGATGAAAGATATTCCTAGGTCTTTACCAAACAGCTTAAACTTATGCATCACAAATCTTTGATATGGAATAAATTTTTCAAAGAAAAAGTATCCCAGAGACCAAATTTTGCAGCCCCTGTTCTCATAATTATATTTTTTGGCTGTAACACTCCTATATGTTTCCTACATTTCAAGCCCAAAGTCCTTTTATGTGAAAGATTTGTGTTAGATATGAAGGCCGTTCAACTGTCTACCTGACAGTTTAAGCCATTTCTAGCATATAGTGAGTAATAAAACTGTAACCTTTTCCGCCTTTGTAGAAAAGGAATAGAGTTCCATCCAACTAAAAAGTCATTGGCAAAAGTTTTTTCATTTCCATTAAAGTTCTAATTCTGCTTTCCAGCCATAACCTAACTTTACAGCCACCATAATTCTATAACAATTGTTGCGGTTAACATGCAATGAAAGTCAGCCTTATTCCCTTTGCTTGATATGGTAAATAAACAACTACTCTGATAAGAACAGTTAGCACTACCCATTAAAAGGAAAAGACAGAGGAGAAGAAGATGAAGAATTAATTGGAAAATAGCGATCAGGGATTAAATTCAAGGACAAAAATCAATCATAAATCTAGACAAAATACCTTCTCCTTAACAGCAATTTTGTTATCAAAAATCTGAGCTGCATCTTTAGGCCGCAGATGTCTCTGTCTCTCAGTTTTTGATCTTTCCAACTTAATTTGATCTGCACTTGAATCTAACTTGTCTGCATGGGATGTTTCTGCTGGCAAGGTGTTCATCTTAGACAAACCCTTGCTAGAATTGCCTGAATGAGGAGAAAACAAGACTACCATTGGTATATAGCTCAGAAATGTGCAATATGGCTAAGATATCAAGTAAAATACTATTTTTACATTACTAAAATGTTTAGAGGTCCTTATGACAGTTTACAATGGTTTCATCATCAAGATAACCGTGACAACAAAACAATATGCTCATTCCATGTTTTTTAGACAGAAAAGATCATTAATAGTAATTGTTAAAAAATTGTGGTTTGCAGCCAGAGAATGCGGATCGTGAAAGATTGACCATCTCTATATCTTTATATAAAAATTTAATAACTTTAAGAATTAGTGGAAGATCAATTAGGGAGTAATTGTGGAGAAGACATTAAAAAGTTAAGAGGAGCAGAAAGATTGGTTCCAAAATTTGAAGAACAAAGGAAGAGCAAAGAGGTAGGCTGTACAGTGCTGTGCCTCCCGTAGCTAACCTATTCTTTTATGGAAAAAATAACCCGCCAGACTATTTCAGTGGTCCACATTCAGATTGTTCCCTCTCCCCTCTCCTTCTTTGACAAGGTCCTAAACATATTACGATTGATCGAGACAGCTTATTGTAGGTGAAGAGGTCAAATTACCCCTTATCTCATTATATTCCTATTACATGCCTCAATAAATTTTAGATATAAGAAACTTTTACTGAATATTAAGTTTGACAACTTCATTAACTCTTCTGAGCTATATTTATTGGATTGGATAAGTTTAGTCAATCCTCCTCACATCTGCTTGAGTGTTCGCTTGATGAGATGCTTTGGCCAGAGTGTTCAGAGGTTCATTTTACAAAATTTGCATATGATTGCAACTTTTTAATGATATCCCAAAGTATTGTAATTCCAATGAAGGGGTAAAGGGACATTTTCTGAGGATGTTGTTCTTTTATTCCTCGTTCCCCATCAATTGTTCCAGCTTCACACCAAGTAATGATTGACAGATTCCAAACAAAGAGGACGCACGCTAGAACCTGCTATCTTAGAAGCCCAGTGAAATAAAATCTTAAAGTTTATAACTGAAAAACTTTCGGTTTATTGAACTAGTGCTACCCATTTGCGATATCCACTGTCATCACATATATGTACCAAAATACACGCATGCACGCACAATGCAAACTTCGGAATCAAAATTTCACTAGTCGGCAACTTCTCCTAATTAAATGAGACTAAGTAAACCATGTTTGCTCTAGAAAAGTAATTCATGTCTCATGCCAAATGTTTTTGTCAACCATCACAAATAGCGGCCTTTATTGGCTCAATAAATGAACTTAAAAACGCTGATAAAATTGTTTTAATTCGTCATGCATTTTCCTAGCCGCAAGCACATAAGTCGAAATTTAAGAAAAGAAGAAGAATACAGTTTCAGGAAAGAATCTTGGGAATCTGTTCTCAATTGTCGACCGATAAGTCATAATGAATATATTTTTCCCTTAACTACTTGTACCCCCTAATTCGCTAAATGCTTTGTCGATTTGCAAAACAAAAGCTCAACGGCTTTCGGGCCAAATTTCACATACCTGAAGAACCAATGCCCCCATTATCAACTGAAAGTCCAGTGCCAACATCTGTAACACCATCCACTTCCTTACTAGTTCTTCCGCTTCCAACACTTACTTCACGCTGGACACTAACAGAGAGATCGCTAGAACTGGTGGAACTGGAAGAAGAGCTCCGGCGGATTCTGGACAAGTCCGCCATTGCCACTGTCAGCCCGAGGAAGCTATATCGATGGCGTTGATCTGGATCCGGCGTGCTGTCCAGAAGAACAGGGATAGCATATAGAGACGAGAGAGAAAGGAATATATATATATATAATCGAAGAAGCGAGAATTCAGAGACAGAATCTTTCGCCGAGATTCATGACATGGCACATCCAGAGGGTAAGAGAGAGAATACGTGAAAAGGCTTGTTGGCGAAGAAAGAAACCGAATGGTGGTGGCTCGAGAGTGACGCACGTATGTGTTTGCGTGCTGCGTGGGGTGATTTTAGAAACCTTTTCCGACAATACACGGACAAACAAAAACAATAAAAATGGTAAATATTCATTAAAAAAATACAACCTCGGCTTCAAAACAAAAGTTAAATTTTATTAGAATACCTAGTTTTTTTTATAAAATAATATTTATTCTTATCTAAGTATTTAATGATTTTTTTAATTGTATTTCCCATATATTACATCTTTTACTTATTTTCTTTATTAATAGAGCAATCTGGGGAAAAAAAATACATGTCTAATGTGTTTATTATTTTAAACTAATTTTAACTAATTTCTTAATAAATGTAAATAGACAAAGTTTTTCTTATATTTTGAACTGGAGGGCGTACTAGCTCAAGTTTCTTATTTATTATATTATCTCACATTCTTAATATAAGAGTTTGTTTGACTTTTATTTTGATTATAAATATAGAACTTTAATCCATTTTGTCTTTCATATTTATCTATTTTTTTAAAGATAGTTCTTATAACAATGGTAGCTTTAGCCAATATATTTGATTAACAATGATATTTTAGAAAATATAACACATATTTATTATAAATAACTAACTTACCTAATTTTCTTAATCTATTCAAATTAATCAACTAATTTTTATATTAAAGATAAAAGATAGTATCAAGTTTTCAATCACACATCATTATAAGTTCTATTTATTTTATTTGAATTTATAATTAAATAATAATATTTTAAAAATAGACATATTACCATATTTAATTATAGAATTTGATACAATAAATATAAAGAATTTGATTTAAGTCTTGTCCATATACATATTAGTTTTGTTCAAAAATGATTAAATTTTTTAAGAATTTGTAACTAAAATGTTGTTATCATTATGATTTATCTCTTTTGTTAGCTAGGACGTGATATTTGTTTTACTAATTTATAGAACTAGGTATAATCATATATTTGCACAGAATTTAAAAAATATGAGAAAATTAATTTTTTGTGTTGTTATAGTGTTGACTCTACTATAATTCAATTTCTAAATTTTAACATAGTGTAACTCAATTTTTATAATTTTGACTAGATTATAATTTAGTCCCTAATTTTTAACTCTATATAACCTAGTCCTTTATTTTAACTATTTAAAATATTAGTTTCTATATTTTAGAAAATAAAATTATATATTTTATAAAGTTCAGAGATTAAAATTTTAAAGATTAAAACTAGAAAAAATGTCAAAAAAATTTGAAAATTAAAAAATTACATACAAGGATCTGTTTAAAAAAATTATTGTCATTTGGTTATCAGTTGTTATCAAAACTAATAACAATGTTATAATGGGTCTCTATTTACAATTTTTCTATTTTTAAGGTCTTTTTTTAACAATTTTTCTTTAAAATTATGGGAATTAATTTGCAGGAAATTAATATTCAGAAACTGAATTTTTAAGTGAATTAAAATCACATGCATTGAGTTGTTGAAAGTCAAAATTTCAGGACTTAGTTCTTCGAATCAAAATTCAAGAACCATGTTAAAACGTAATCAAAATTATATGGACTAGAAGATTAATTATTTTAAGAAGATATCATACTATAAATTACTTATAAAAAATACTATTTGTAGAAATTTTTATATTTTTTATTGATATTTATTATATTATCATAATCATAATTCATTTCTTCTTTTATACGAAAATCCTTTTTTTAAACCAAAATAGAGCAAAGGTTGTAATTTTATTTTTAAGAAAATTATGTACTCCAATCGTTAATATAAAACCTATTTAACTAATTTAATTAGATTTAAAAAAATTAGGTAAATTAGTTAATTATAAAAAATATGACATGTTTTTTCTCAAATACCATAATTATCTTTCTTAATATTCTTCCTCCCTGACTTAATTAATTATGGTTGAGGGAATATTCATAAAGGTAATTTAGAAAAAATGATAAATATGATAAATAGATCTTATATTTAGAATCAAAATTAACTTAATAATTAATTTTTATATTAAGTATTAAGGATTGGAGGAGTATGAAAGTAGTTTTAGAATCTTACTTTACGGAATGGGTGGGCACCCGGGGATCTGGAGTTTTATTCCCAAAACAGGAATAAAAATTTTTCATCTAAACGTGGAAAAGAATCCACGCAGGTCATGTTTCACTATCTCACGCAATAATAGGTGGGGGTTAGCTTTCTTCGATTCTCAAATCTAAATTTTCTTTTTTCTAGCAGTTTTTTGTTTTTTGGGCCAGCTTTTCCAGCGGCCTTTTGGTTTGCTTCAAGCATAAGAATTAATTAGAAGGTTAATTTTAATGAAAACTAATGGGAAAATGATTTTTTTTTGGTGAACGGAAAAGTGATTTTTTAGTGAAAACTGAGATTTACTTAGGGGGTGTTTAGATGAAACCAAACTATAGTTTGAAGAATAGGTTCTGGAGAATAGATTCTGAAAAAAATGGATTTTGTGAAGAATAGATTTTGTGAAAAAGTGATTCTGAAAAGTGAGAGTGTTTGGATAGTTGTTATCAGAAACACTTTTTATATATACAAATTATTAAAAAAACATAAGTTAATATGATAATTACATAAAACATAGATTGTATGATATATCTTAATTTGAAGGAATAAAATTATTAATAATATATTTTTTACACCATAATTAATAATACATAAGATAATATAATTAATAAATAATTAATATGTGTATATTTATTTATAAGATGTAAGATTAAATATGTTTATAAAAAATTAATTAAAGGGTGTTAAAGTCATATTATTGTTGAGATTTACTCTAATAGGCACAATCATACTCTCCAATTTGAGCCAGAAGCAGAATAAATTCACTTTTCTCGAAACTATGGTTTCAGATAATTTATGCCTGTTTGGTTTGTTTTTTTCCCCAAACTATGGTTTGGATTTCCAAACCATAGTTTGGCCTGCTATTCAAACTGGCCTTAATCGTGTTAAGGAAGAAAAAAACAAAATAAATAGCAATCTCACTTTCCTCATTAATTTCCATCTTTTGCCCGAGAGATAAGAGGGTCATCAAAGATATGAATTAAAGTTTCCTTTGAGACATCTTAGTTAAATGATTTACAAGTGTAATATATTTAAATGATTTACTAGTGTAATATATTTCCCATGTACATTGCTAAATAAGATTTATCAATCCCCGTAAACAAATAATTTCGTAAACAAATAATTTAGTTTCATCCATAATACTCCTCCAATTCTTAATATAGGACCTAATTTTTGAATTGGTTTTGATCCTAAATATAAAACCTATTTCTCATATTTATTAATTTTCTCTAAATTACTCCTATAGATACTCCATCAACTATAATCAAATAGAAGAGGGAGAGAGAGTATTAAGAAAGATAATTGTGGTGTTTTAAAAAAAATGTGTCACTTTTCTTATAATTAACTAACTTACCTCCTTAATCTAATCAAATTAGTTAAATGGATCTTATATTAAAGACTGAATGAATATCTTTACAAAGATTATTATTATCATAATTATAAAGTATTTTGACCAACACAAATTGAGTCTATAGCCTATGTGTGGTCTGATCATTTTTGCAATAGCTAAAAGACTACTGTAAGTTGTCAATAGGAGTTAGTTTGGTTGGTAAAAAATCATCTCATAATTTATAAGATTGTGAATTCAAATTTTATTACTGATGTGAAAATATTATTGAAGGGTAATTATGAATACATCTATAAACATACTCCAAGTCTGAAAGTATGCCTAGATCATAATAAATCTCAACGCTCAACTCACCTAAACTTTTGTCTCACGTTGAAGAAACACTATTATGAGTTTATGATTATACTTACAAATCCGTTTGTCTTCATTGTCCTGCTGCATCTACTTCAATCTCAATGAAACATTATCCAATAACATGCCTCTCCTGTCCTCATGAGTGAATTGTGTTTAATCAAAAGAACTAATCAGACAATCCAAAGCAGTTGCTTGTGCTTAATCTCCCTCAAATTTCGAGATTTCAACAAGAAGGATGAAGAAGGATGGATAATGATGACGCTATTTGATCATATATATGATTCACTATTTTATTTTTAAGTAAAAAAAAAAATTTTACTTACCCGTATGATGTACAGAGAGATTACATTTCAGTTCCTTAATATTTCAAACAAGTAAATTGCATTCTTAAAAAAAAAAAAATAGATCCCATATATTTAAGTGCTTAATAAGGTGTGATTGGGTTTGGTTTTGACCAAAATTTAAACCAAACCAAACCGACTACTTTGAACAAGAAATATATACTTGATCAGTTTTTTATTGAGGTCAATCTGGTTTGGTTTTTATGCGTTTGGTTCATATATGAATCAAGTTTCATTTTTGAATATTTAAAATTATATGCTAGGACTAAGCATAATCTCTCTCTCTCTCTCTGTTTGAAGTCACTTTGATGACATCAAGATTCATGAAGGACAATGAACATTCTCATATCCAAAATAGAAAGGTTCAAATTTCATTATTAGTAAAAAAAATTAGAGTATATGCATTTGTAAGTAGCTTCGTTAAATTTCATTGTAAATTGTGGGGATGACTATAATGAAGTGTAACTCATCCTTAAATTTCATTACAAATTGCATGAATTAGTATTTTTGTTTTTAAATTTCTTAAGCATTTTGGGCTACGCTTTAGTTGAACTGAGAAAGTAAAAACTAATAGACTAATAGCTTATATTACCAACCATAAAATATATATATATTTAAAAATATAAGACGCTG